AAATCCTCAACAACATCAACCGTATCAAAATCTCTATGGTTCAAATCCTCAACAACATCAACCGTATCAAAATCTCTATGGTTCAAATCCTCAACAACATCAACCGTATCAAAATCGCAATGGACAAAATTCTTCACAACAACAACTGTATCAAAACTCTGATGGTCCCACTCCTCAGCAATGTCAAGGTAATATTAAACTTTATGATTGACGAAAGTCTGTGAGAAACTTATTTGTTCCACAAAATTCTTATAATAATAATGCTTTCAAATTACTTAAAATTTCTTTTCTAAAAGGTGGTTATGGTGGCTATGCTTCATATAACCAATCACTGCAGCAATATCAAGATCCTTATGCTTATCAACTACCAGGCTAGTGCTTATATTCTTCATATTTAATCAATCTTTTATTTCTTTGTTTCTCTTTCTTTACAGCTGGTGGATATAATACAAACACATATCGATCACTAGCTAGTAAGCTATTTTCTAAGATAAAAAAGAATATTAACCTATATATATTTTACATTTTAAACATGTAAAGAAGCAACAAGTCTAAATCTATTTTAACATAAGAATCCATAAGAGTATAGGAATAAAAATGAATCATAGCTATTTTCTCATGACACACTTTCTTAATAATGATATCAACTGAGCATAGCTGATATTGCATGATAGTTCACATGTTACAAAAACTGAGAAAATACAAAAAAAAACACATATTTAAAGGGAGTAGACTCATCTTTATTGTTGTATCTGTACATGTTATTTAAGCTCCTCCTCATCAAAGAAAAGTCGATTTTCGTGAAAAACATGAAAATTGAGATCAATGCATAGGAAAATATGCCCGAGGTTTGATCTTTCGAAAATAACATGACTTTTTATGTGGTACATCGTGTTTTCTAAAAACGCCTGCGATTTTTTTGTTGAAAAATATGATTTCTTACTAGCAACGGCAAAATAGTTGCGAATCCTGTTTTTGGTGGATATTCTCATGAACATTCAACCACAAAAATGCAAGCTTCTCAGGAAATTGTTTTGTCTGTAAAACTTTGCAGAGCTTGTCTCGCTGATCATTTTGGTAAAACAAATATTCAAATTTACTAAGTAAATAACGATGTTAGAGTCAAAATACTCAAAAACATCAACTACCGTTCAGTAGTAGCCAGAAATCGTCGAATGTTTAAAGTATTTTGTCTCTGACATCATTATTTACTGAGTAAATTTGAATAGTTTTTTTATCAAAATGATCAGCGAAACAAGTTCTGCCAAGTTCTAAAACAAAAATAAATTCTTGAAAGCCTGTATTTTTTGTGGTTGACTGTTCATGTAAATATCCACCAAAAACACGATTCGCAACTATTTTGTCGTTAGCAGTTAGATAAAGTGAAAAATCTTTTTCGCCTTTTTTTGAGTTTGTTTTTTTTTATTTCGCATCCCAAAATTTCCGAAGAAGCTTTATTGTTGCCAGGGTATGGATGTGTGAGATATGGGTGTGGGTGTGGGTCTGGGTAGATGTGAGTGTAGGTGTGGGTGTGGGTAGATGTGAGTGTAGGTGTGGGTGTGGGTAGATGTGAGTGTAGGTGTGAATGTTCGCGGGTGCAGTTCTTACCTTCATTCACACCCACACCCACCACCACCTACCCACACCCACACCCACGCACACCGACACCCACATCCACACCCACACCCACAACCACACCAACACCCGCACCCACACCCACACCCACACCCACACCCACACCCATACCCACACCCACACCCACACCCACACCCACACCCACACCCACACCCACACCCACACCAATACCCACGCTCACACTCACACCCACCCACATCCTTCACGAATCCACACCCATGCCCACACATCATAACCAGACCAACCCTCACCCACATCCACACTGACACACCCACGCCCACGCAACCACAGACACACCCACACCGACAGACACACCAACACCCACCCACATCCACACTCACACACACCCACATCCACGCCCACAGATGCACCCACATCCACGCCCACAGATGCACCCACATCCACGCCCACAGATGCACCCACATCCACTATCTGAAAATCAACAATGTTTGTTTTCAAACCTGAGAAAATCATATTCTAATGAAGTCAAAAGTATAAGTTTTTGTAATTGAGAGCAGTTCATTACTATTCAAAACAAATGAGCGACTTATTTCAATGAAATCGATGCTTATTTCTACTCCATACATGTGTTTCATTTCAGCCCCATTACCTGCGAGTTCAACTGATATTCGTCCCAATGCAACATGGGCACAGAATGGTGTTACGGTTGCTGGAGGAAATGGAAAAGGCAGTGAAATGAATCAACTCTGGAGTCCATTGAATTTGTACCTCGATGATAATCAAACAATTTATGTTGCTGATACTATAAATTGCCGTATTATGGAATGGAAATATGGTGCTATAAATGGAAAACTGGTTGTCGGTGGAAATGGACAAGGAAATGGAGCTCATCAATTAAGCTACCCACGAGACGTGATTGTTGACAAAGGGAGTGATAGTCTCATCATCAGCGATACCGGGAATAATAGATTAGTGCTATGGCCTCATCGAAATGGTGTTCGTGGAGAAACTATCATTTCAAATATCTCTTGTGGTGGCTTGACAATGGGCGAGAATGGATCTCTCTATGTCGTTTCCAGAGAAAAACATGAAGTGAGACGATATGAAACTGGTGACGCTAAAGGAACAGTGGTTGCAGGTGGCAATGGAAAAGGAGATCGTCTGAATCAACTCTCCAAACCTCAATACGTATGCGTCGATCGAGATCATTCAGTATACGTGTGTGAATCTGGAAATCACCGTGTAACGAAATGGGAAGAAGGGGCAAAACAAGGCATTGTTGTAGCCGGTGGTCGAGGACAAGGAAGTAGTCTTACACAATTATCACGTCCTCGAGGAGTGATTGTCGATCAATTGGGTACTGTCTATGTGGCTGATTATTGGAATCATCGAATCATGCGTTGGCCAAAAGGAGCCAGACAGGGAAGTGTCATTGTTGGTGGAAACGGTAAAGGAGCACAGTCGAATCAACTCAATTGTCCCATAGGTTTATCATTCGATCGATATGGCAATCTCTATGTCACGGAAAACGAAAATCATCGAGTACAAAAGTTTAATATCAAATGAACTCAGAACGATGATTAATTTTATTTTTTTGTTCTCTTTCTATTTGAAATAAATCGCGATTGAATGAAAAAATAATTAATAATATTCTATTTACACGCACGAAAACTCTCAAATCATTCACATGCATCCATCCGAAGATATTTGTCAATGAGTCTTGCGTCCGATCGTGTGCGGGGTGTGTGGATAGAAATGATTTTAATCATATATAAAATCAAATCATAAAGCTAGCAAGACCGGTTTCGACCAGAGCTACAGTGGTCAATTATCAATTGCTTAATGATATATAAAGTTGTTAATGAAACATCTCCTACTATGGCATACTATAGTCGAAAGTTTTTAAAGAGAAAAACTTCCAATTCTAATAATATGCATAAGTAACTAAAATTCAAAAGTTTTCAATAAGAATACTTCCGAATAATAGATAAGAGAATCTCCAGCAATATGGGTGTGTTTTAGAAGAGATGATTTTTCAAACGAAAATCAAATCAAAAGCTAGCAAGATGCGTTTCGATTACCGCTAAAGTAATCTTTATCAATTGCTGATGATATATGTTATTCACTCAAGTAGTTAAATTCTCCTACTAAGTTATACCAAAGTAAGAAGTTTTAGAAGTAAAAACTCCTATTCAATAAGTAATAACTTTATATATTATTATCGAGAAAGTTTTCGATGAAAAACTTTCAATAATAAGATAAGAGATTCCCCAACTAAATGGGTGTGTTGAAAAAATAGAAATGATTCGAATATCAAATCAATAAGCTAGCAAGACAAGTGTTTCGACCAGAGCTAAAGTGGTCAATTATCAATTGCTTACTATTAGATGGAAAATAGAAATTTTTCTCCTACTACATCTAGCATAAGTCAGGAGTATAGAAACAACTCCTAATCTAATAGTAGACATAATAATAAATTATTAGAAAGTTTAAAGAATAAAAAACTTCCAATAAAATAAAAGAGATTCTCCAACAATGTCATGTGTTAGCAGATAATGATAAAAAAAAAGAAGAAATAAATGCGGAAACCTCGGATTGAAATCCGAGTGTTATGTGTACTTCAAAAAGTGAACCCAACGACAGATTGGTTTTGATAATTCGAAAAAAATCATCCTTGAGCGCACTAAGGAACTGCCCCTTAGGCCCTGCGGATGCCCTCTTTTTGTCCCATAGGACCTGGCGAGGAGTTAGTTCCAGAGACTTTACTTGTTTATATAAATATAACTTATTTTTTAAATTAAATCTAGTTCTTTTTTTCTTTTTCACAAACTCATATCAATTATATCATTTTTTGGTATGAATTGATGGGGATTATTTGAAAATGGCAAGAGAGCATCGTAATGAATGCCGGTAAAGTGAATACATAAACTTGATTTATTCATATCTGACTTATATCCAATATATTTGAGATGACCTCCTGCAGTTCCATTATCAAATCTGTTAATCAAATCTTGTGTACTGATATCAGATGGAATATAGTGTACACGTTTTGGATCATCGAGAAATTTAACATAAGAATAAATGGGCTGACGTAATGCTATAGAAAGTGCATGAATTTGAACTTCTCCACCCCATTGTTCGTTTGTGGCAGTTCTCCTCAACTGTTCTTCAAATGAATAGTTCAATAAACGGCAAATGGTTTTGAAATGATTACTATTATTAATCATAGCATTGACTGCCAATAATCTCATTGAGTGTGTTAGTTCTTCAGATCCAATTTTAATTATTGATAAAGAATTGTACAAGCAATTTCCATCTCCAGTTGTATGAGTTCGTGCGTAAAATGCATCAAATGCTTCAACAGAATATTCTATTTTCGGTCTGATTTTAACAGATCGATCTTTGTTATACACAGTTATAAATGGCGACTTTTCAATTAAATCATCGATTATTCGAGCTTGACTTGAAATTTGGGTAGTCCCTGCAGCATTATCAAATTCAAGTAGAAGGAGAAAATGATCAAGAATCTTCCTTGAGTCTGAATCAATGATTTCATAGTTTGTGAGAAAAGATTTTTCTTCAGTTTCCATCGTATCAAATGGCTCATTAACTTTGAGATCTTCTAATTGGAAGGACATATCTAAGTCAATTTGTTCATTCTTATCGACTGTTTCATGACTTTCAAAAACAAATTTGTCGTCGATATCCATCGTGTCAAATTGGTCATCAAGCATAACTTCATCATTGATATTAGAAGTTACATTTGTATGAATGTTTTTGATTTCATGAAAATGAGACTTACTCAAAACTTTATGTTTTCTTATCCATATTGGCTTATGAAAACTTGTAAGACTTTCAAAATAATCAGACTTTACGTCTTTCATATTAGTGAAACAATAGTCAATTTGTGTTTTTGCATTAGTTGAATCTTTATTTAGTGTATTATTCAAACTAAGTCCAAATGATTTCATATATTCAATAAATTTGTTATTGATTTTAATCTTCAAGTTTATATTAAAATCACCAACGACAATTATATTATCACAAAATCTTTTTGAAATAGTTATAACTTCATTCATATGTCGTCTTAGGACATCGAATGATGAATTTGGTGAATTATAAACGGAAATTATACAAATATCATCAACTTTTATCGAAGAATATTCAATATGATCTTTGCCTGAATATTCATATCTTTCGGTGATATTTTCGAATTTTAAATCATTTTTTAAATAAATGATTTGACCGAATGGTTTTCGTACATCATGACAATCACGTCTGTGAACTATCTTAAAACCTTCAATTTCTAAGTTATCACTTGGTTTTGTCCATGTTTCAACAAGACTTATCATGGAAGAAGACAAAAATGTTTTGTCAAATTTAACATCTGAAATATGCTTATTCAATGATTGTACATTATGAAAGATAATGGAAAATTTTTTCTCTTCAGATTCTTCAGGAAATGCAAGCGAAAATTTCAGCATTCGCTCGGATCTCATAGTTTTGAACATCAACGTCACTGCATCATTACGTTCAGGTGGTTTTGGTGGAACGAAGTCTCCAATTAAGTATAAACCACTTGCTTTTGTTGCACGACTACAAGCAACATATAATTCAGATCTTGTCATTCCCTTCTTCAAATTGACAACAACCTTCTCGTAAGTACCGCCTTGACTTTTGTATATGGTCATAGCTTCACAAGGTACTATTGGAAACTGCTTCCGTTCTACTTTGAAGTTTGTTGACTTCGTATTTATTTGACGTATTACTGGTTCGATTGGTGTAAGACTAGAATCAATATTTCTATTACGCATTACATTGTGAAAATTGGCTCTAGCTTTTCTTCCAGTTTTTTCTTCATTGAATTTAATCCATATTCTACATGGTACTGTTTCATTAGTTTTTTGAAGTTTTCCGTAATCAATCATTACTAATTTTCCACATGCACCATTGACTAATCCATCTTCAGTATCAGAATTGACTGTCAACATATACTTAGCGCCCACTTTCAAATCGATTTTAAGTGGTAAGCCATAAGTTTCAGTTGTTTTGAGATTCTTTACGTTGTTCAACACTTTTTCTTTTAATGATGCAAGTCCATCACCAATACAAAAGTCATATGCATTGGCAGTTGCACCTTCAGTATTAAGATTAGCCAATACTTTTGTATTGTATGCATCAACTTCAGCATTGCTTCTGAATATCCTTATGGCATCTTCAATCGTTTCCAAATTTTCAGTTGAAACAATTCGTGACTTTAACAGATGAATATCTTCATCTGTCATTGTTCCTTTAGCTATATTACTTAATGCAATGGCAAAAGTCTTATCATCCTTTTGTCTCATAATTTCTGTTAATTCAAACAATTCAAATAATGACCATAATGGACTATCTACTAAAGCATTATATGAATTATTAAACTGGAATATGTATTTATCACCAACTGGTCTTAATTGATTGAAATCGCCTAAAACTATGACTGATATTCCACCAAATGGTTTCTTTGTTCTCATTATTTGCTGCAAACGTGCATCGACTTGTTGAAACATTGTAAAACCAACCATTGATATTTCGTCTATTATTAATAATTGTAAGTCTTTTAATTTGACTCCAATTCTATTCGAAACATCGCTATTTAGTTGAACAAGCTTATGTTTGCATTGATTTACTGGTAAACTTAAAAATGAATGCAAAGTCATTCCATCAATTAATGCTGCTGCTTTGCCAGTTGGTGCACATAGTGCAGCCCGAATACTATCTGGATAATATCCTGGAAGTGAATTATAAAATCTTAGTATTGATTGATACACTGCTTTGATTAGAGTGCTTTTGCCAACACCTGCACCTCCATTGATGAAATGAAAAAATTGATTTTCACCATTCTTAATCAAATTCATTACGTTTAGAGTATATTTCCTTTGATTACTATTAAGATTTCTCATCATTTGTTGATATTCTGTGTCTGGTATTATTTTGGGAACATTAAAATGTTCGACTTTTTCAGTTCGAGTATTTATTCCCATTTCAACAAAAATATCACCTTCAGTATTTCCTATTTCATAAATGAGAAATTCATTTTTATCTTGATCGTATTCAATATTTGCATCATCAATATCATCGTCATCTTCTTTTTTTTCCATATGTTCTTCTAAAGCTTGTTCGAATTCATTAGCTTCACGATGAATATATTCAGATCTTTTTTGTTGAATTATACCTTTATACAATTCAAATCTCTCTTCATGGTTTATATGAATAAGATCTTCTTCTTCATTAGTCCATGGTAGAAATAGCATTAGTTGCTCTCTATAATAGTTTTCAGGGTCTTGATGTAGTTTAAAGTATCTGTATCTTATGATTTTTTTCTTTGTCCTTTTTTTAATCCAACCCTTACCATTTTTCATTTTCATAGGAGCAATTTTATTATCACTTTCATTTTCAGTGATATCTTCGTCATCAGAATTTTCTATAATGCGATCATTATCTGTTTTTTTCTTTGAAATATTATACATCGAAGCAAAATCAGCCAGACAAACATTTTTCATTTCGCCAGGTCTATTAACATACAT